ATCGATATATAGGTTTAAGGTTTTATGTTTTCTCTACACTCCCCCTAAAATGTCTTTCTTTTAAATTAGAAAATTTACTTGTGCTTTGAAATAAATGCTCGTAATACATGTATTTGCGATAAACAGTTACATCCTTAATCTATTCACCAACAGTTCCCTCTTTTCATCACAAATTCACGAAATAGTCCACTTTATAGTCTGCACTTTCCTTCAGAAGATTTGGACCAAATAACCAAATTTTTTTAGTAGAAACTGAAAATTAACCAAATTTTGTCTTTTGGCTCCAAATTTAGGGTTCATTCCCAGAAATATTAAAGAATAAAAGAAAAAAAAGTGGGCGAGAGTGTCTAATGGCAAAAAGGGTTAAATTGAAAATATACAACACAAAATGGAGTTAGGTTTAGACTAACTAATATTTTTGGCAGTGGTGCAAGTTTATATAAAAAAAACATGTTTGTTGATTTTCTTTTGATACTGTCCAGCTTCCAGTTCAAATATTTATTTGTACTGATCCCAATAAATGATACAGAGTATATTCCATATGTTCTTTCCTTTTCAGACTAATTGAACCATAAATTCACCTTTGATTTTGTGCATTCTGTTGTTCCTACATTGTCCTATCTTTATATATTAGTCAAATCTGTACATTCACTGTACATGTATTATAGAGGGGGGGGGGGGCAAGGGTTATTTTCGTTCAACTTAATTGCAATATTTTTTTGTTTGTACAACGTAAATTGAAAAAAATAAATTCCGTAAATTCTGTAATCACAGGCTAAGACGTACAACATAATCAATCAAATATTTTTTTCCTACACTGTAAAAATGTGTCATTTTTCTCGGTATGTACAAAGAATTTACATCCAAATAAAAAAGTCGTAAAAAATAATCCAGGGAAATTACATTTTCGTAACTGTAAAACGACTAAGATAACACAATTCACTGTAAACTGTAAAAACGTCTTTTTTTTTCCTTGTAAATTGTAAAAAGCCCTTTTTATTTCCCGTAAAACTGTACCAGCTACCCCCTTGTCCCCCCTCCCCATTATAGTAGTATCATATTTCCACCGGTACACAGGAGCACTGTGGCATGCTTTATGTATACCCAGGATACTGTAACCCACGATTTAAATAGGATTGAAGGGCATTTTTTTGAGAATAGAAATTGGGGCAGGCCACTGTGACCCTCTTCCCTAAAGACCCTTAGTGAAAGTCATTGTGACTCCTTAGGACACCAGTAAAAGTCACTATGGCTGACTGTCTTGACCTTTTGACCTCCAAAGTCAACATACATTATCCTTCTCAAATCAAACTCTTATAATTTTGAAAATGTGACAAATTGTGTCCAATAGAT